GTCCCCAAACTGCCCACCACCCCCCTAGCCGGAGAGCGCTCGAGCGCCTGGCTCCCCTGCCGATAACCCCTCTCGCCGTCCGCCAAGTAAGCGGAACGCAAATGTAACAATTTTCTTCTTGTTAATTGCATCTCCTGACATTTCTGCGCGTTGGGGGAAAAAAAAAAGATGAAGAAGTGAGAGCTGAAAGAAAAGAGAGGAGCCCCGCCGCGGCTGCAGGCTCCTGCAAGCGCAGCGTATTGGCAGCGCTCGGCACGCAGAAGGCGCCTTTTTTTTCATATCGAAACCACGCGGAATATGTACATTTTTTAGTCTTACTTACGCTTTCAGGGGGTTGTGAATGACAGTCGCCATTTTGCTACAATGTAACAGAATATTGTCTGTCTCAGAGTTCTAAAGGTTCGCTCAGGGGAAGCGGAGAGCCAATCAGAGCACGGGATACCGGCCCGCCGGCCAATCAGCGAGGCTGGTCGCCAGGTGGGCGGGGCCTGCACGGTGGTAGTTATTAGGGGAGCTGTCAAAGCCCAGAGGTCACTCCCTTTTGTAGAGCCCGAGAGCGAGCAGGTCTTAAAGGGGCAGTACCGTGCGAGCGGTTCCTTTTCGGATTGGGGAAAGTGGAGACGCACGGGAGAGTTATTCTAGTTTGGTTTGAGTCCCTACTTTCTGAATAACTGCAGGGAGTTTGCGCTCCTGAACAGAAATATTTAAGTATTGCCAACAAACCACTGAACCCCATTCATTAGCTTTCGGTTTTGCTATTACATTTTTAATTCCCCAAAGGGCAAATCCCCTTATTCCCATGCAAAAGTTGGAAGACTGCCTTTTCGTCTAACAAATTACTACACGTGTCCTGCCGTTTGCTAATGCTCCGGGTCCTGCGGCTTTTTAATATTCTCATTCCCAACGTGTTTTCTTTATCTCGGCCACCTACCTCTCTCGGTTTCTTGGAACTGCCGCCGCTGTTCCTGGCGACTCCAGGACAGCAACTCCCCTCCCCCAGGAATGTCTCAATGTCAGGCTCGCTCCCTCTTGCAGCCTGGGCTTTTCGTTACGTAATGCGCGGTGGTCACTCTGCGCGGGTCCCCACTACCAACTCTTCTGTTGTACAGACGCACGAGAAACTTCTGAAATGATCAGATTCCGGCCGGCTAGGGAGCCAAAGCGGGACCTGGCGCTCTGACCTTTAGGCTTAGGGGTAGGTGGGGTTTAAGCAAACTTTTGGAACCGCTTTCTGCTGCTATGAAAGCAAGTAACTGCACAGAAGTTGTAGAACCTGGACTGGGTGTTGCCAGAGTCTCTTTCGGAGAGTAGCACACGCGATTCTGGCGTCACCTCTCACTACTTAGATAGAAGATGCAAAGAATTTGCTACTGAACAATCCAGTGTGCCCCGAGGCGTTCAGTCTGTGTCTGCTTCAAGTCGGTGTGAACTCCCTACTGGCGAACCCCGGGCAAAATTGGGAAACCTCTGCAAAGCCAGGCTTCCACTGGGCAGCCGGGCAGTGCCGGGCGGATGAAATCTCGCTAAATCATGAATAGCGGCCTCGTTAGCATACAGAAATCTGGCGACCATCCCAAAGTTGTTTAATCAGGTCAAATAGCTGAGATAGCGGGGGAAGGGTGAAAAGGCGGAGAGGAGATGCCAAATTGCCAGTTCTTCCAAGCTGTGCCCTCTCACTTCCTTCCTCAGCGCTCCTCTCAAGGCAATGAATAAAATAAAAAATAAAAGTTCCTGAACTTTCAGAGTTCAACTCCATACACTATTAGAGTTACCAATAAACAGAACAGGGCTGAATCAGTATGTCTGTAACAGACTTGAAGTTTTTAACCCCTTCTTTCTGCCTAATTAACAGCAGAGGCAAGTTCTGTAGATTGCTTTGTAACTTCTTTGCACAGCATCTTGAGGTTTGAAAAAAGTTATCCCCTTTTCTGAAATCAAAGTTTGAAAAATCTCTTCCTTATTGATTTGTCATTGGTTCAAAAGCTAGCACCTTGCCTGGGATGGGCCTTGACAACATTAAAAAGCAAGCACTATATTCTGACACAAGAAGTATGGTTCGAAGTATCAGTCAGAACTCACGACAACATCTTTGAGATATCAAAAGCATAGCAATTCAGACTGGAAAATAACAGCATAGTTTAATATATGCAGCTTGATAAAGGAAGCAGGAAATGTAAAGCCTGTCCTGAACAAGGCTTACATTTAATAGGAGAGGGAAAACAAATTTATATTACATATTAAAGAAAAACATATATACTCTAAGCATGTATAATCATTTATTGTATTAAGGCCCAGAGGCAGAAACCAGCATAATTCCTAACTACCTGGCACACTTGAAAAGGGCAGACCAGATAAGTCTTCACTCGGAGAAATTTTAATCCAGAACTTAAACATTTAAGTTATATTTTATAATGACTGAATTGAAAAAATAATGAATTAAAGATAGAATTATTTTTAAGTAGGATAGCCTTGCTTTTTATAACCTAGCGGAATGTCATTTTAACTCTGTGAACATAGGTATGACTTTTAAATAGACAGAATTGTTGTGAATTCACCTTTTATCACTTCTAAGACATGTAACAGTTATTTTTTTAACTTTAGTTTTTATATCATAGATAAAGGTTTTTTCTACAGTTAAGGCAGGTTCTATCTGTCAATTTGCAGATGGCCTGACTCTTCTGTAAAAAAGCCAAATTTTTCGAATAGGTCCTAAAATGTACGCACCCCACCCCACCCCACAAAAAGGCACATGTGTTTTTGCCAGAATGCTCAAAAGCAATGGGGCCTAGAGTAGATGTGTTTAAAGGAGACAGGAACTTTGAACAGTTTTGGAAAACGTTAAATTAAACATTAATTTTGCAAGGAAGCGCTCTCTGTGGTTAGAAGTGTGGGCTCTGGCATTCCCCTGCCTGACTTCACCACTCACCTGCTGGGTTGTCTTGGGTGAATTTACTTGGCAACTCAAATATCTCAGTTTCCTCATCTGAAAAATGGCAATAATAAGAAAACCTGCTTCATAAGGCTCTTTCCAGGACTGAATGAGGTCACGCATGCCAAGTGTCTGGCCCATAGCTAGCTCTCAATATGTGTTGATTATTATTTTTTGTATAGATATTCAATTCTTTCCTGTTGGCATAAGGAATGTAGGGGATCTGAATAAAATGACACATCAGAAAGTGAAATTGTCCATCAAGTTTAGATTTTTAAACTCATTAACCCAAGAAAAATTAGCAAAGAACAACGTCAATGAGAACGAAATAATAAGACTGTTTCAGTTAGGGGTCATACAGCTAAACCTCAAAAATGTCCTCTTGGGGCCGGCCCGGTGGCGCAAGCGGTTAAGTGCGCGCGCTCCGCTGCGGCGGCCCGGGGTTCGCTGGTTCGGATCCCGGGCGCGCACCGACGCACTGCTTGGCAAGCCATGCTGTGGCGGCGTCCCATATAAAGTGGAGGAAGATGGGCACAGATGTTAGCCCAGGGCCAGTCTTCCTCAGCAAAAAAAGAGGAGGATTGGCAGATGTTAGCACAGGGCTGACCTCCTCACAAAAAAAAAAAAAAAAATGTCCTCTTGCTGTTTGTGATATCAAGGCACCAAAAATCCCATCTCTAAAGCTCTATAGATTTTCATATATTTGAATACACTCCATCCCTCCCCATCTCTTTCATCTTGAGTTAGCTGGTTAGGGAGCTTAATTTGGGGGGCAGGGTGGGCCCAGAATAACCACTTCCTCATCCCACCTAGAGAGTCCAGAGCTGGGCTGTCCAATATGGGAGCCATGAGTCACATGTGACTACTAAGCATTTGAAATGTGGCTAGTCTGAATCAAGATGTGCTGCAAGTGTAGAATACACACTGGATTTTGTAAACTTAGTATAAAAAAAGAATGTAAAATATCTCATTAATAATTTTCATATTGATTACATGTTGAAATGACAATATTTTGAATTTAAATGACAATACTGGGTTAAATAAAAAATGTTATTAGAACTAATTTTACCTGTTTCTTTTTACTTTTTTTAATGCGGCTACTAGGAAATTTAAAGTTACTCAGGTGGCTTGTGTTGTATTTCTGTTGTACGACATTGTTCTAGACAGTATGTGTGACCAGAGTAAGAAGGGTGAGGCCTCTGTCAATCATGTTGATCCATCCTGTGTAGCCTTCTCAAATTCAGCCTTAACATCAGTTAGCAAAACTCTCTGGTCCAGCTCAAGTATGTGTTCAACACCACCTATCTGAAGGAAAATTTGGGGTGCGACCAAGGACCCAAGTGCCTGAACCACAAGGGGCATCCAAATCTATTTTCTCTTAAAAAATTTGAAGACTATTTCAGCAGACAATGAGTCAAATCTGTGAGGAGATGCCCATCCAGAAGCAGGGAAAAATGGCATTTCTTTAGCAAGTGTTGAGCTTTCCAACTGACTTTTTTAAGCCACATCGAAATAAAGAGAGCAATAAGGGAGGAAGATGCAGCACTCACAAACAGACAGAGAGTTCATTTGAAAGAGGAAGTGTGTCCCAAAAGCCACCCAAAATAAATGCAGTTCCTAGTGGACTCTGGGAGCTGAAGGAGTTTTAAGTCCTGTGGGTATTTAAAAAACAAGAATAAGCTCACCTTCAATCCCTCCATTCATCCACAGAACTATCAGTCATGGCCTTGGCAGCTGGTTGGCCATGCTGGCTCCCTGAGATCCAGAACCAGCTCTGCTATCTTCTAGGCACTGAGCTGAAGAGGGAGCATCAAAACTGCAATCTGGTTTTCTCTCTTCTTGGGGATATGGGTGGAGGGGTTCTCATTCCCTTCACAAAATCTCAAAGCACAGAAAAAAAAAATCAAATTCTGGGAATGGGAGATGCTCCTAGGGCCAGATCTCTGAAACTTCTTATTTCAGAGTAGAATCAAATAAAAACCAATGGTTGCTGCTTCCCACTAACTCAGTTCATTCATTCACTCACCCATTGGAGGCTTTCTATGAGGGAGGCATTGTACTAGGCACAGGCGGTGAAATAAAAATAAACCAGACATGGACATAACCCTCAAAAAGCAATTCCCATCCATTTGGAGACAGAAGACAGATAGTAGGCTCAACCCTACAAGCAAACAGAGTAATTACTTGATGTGACTTAAAAGGGAAAAGTGGCCCGCCCAGCCAGTCTCTCCTTTCCCTGGTGTGGTGCCCATGATCCCAAAGGATGCATTCTCGGCTGTTTACTGAATGCCTTCTCTTCTTTGGGTTTTCATGGTTTTATGGTATCAAGATTTCCATAAATTGTATAAAGCAAGGGAGAAATGATATATGTCAAAACACCTCAGTGGAGGCAGCAAGTACCTCTGACGTTGGAGGAAGGAAAGGCTTCATGGAGAAGGTCATGTTTA